GGAGGGGGGTCTTTGACCTCGACACATGAACGCTTTTGTCGTCTATTTCCGAAACATGATCTTTTCGCCCTCTTGTGAGAGTTTGTTCCGCTTCTTTTATAGCCTTGCACTCCAAGAAAGTACTTCCCTGGTCGCTTGGCTAGAGTTTCCACTGGACTCGTTAGCTGGGAACATTTAGTTTTGCCATCCTTTCTGCCATGCGCACCCGGTGACCAAACACACTTTTCGCTCTTCGAGACAGTGGCATTGAGGTCATGCACTTGGGTGGTTGGCCGCTGACCATATCGCAGGTATACATACAGATTTGTATTTGCCTCAGTAGGCGTGATTTCCAGCATTATCAGGGTATTCTCGTACTTAACATCAATTACGTGAAAATGCAGATTATCATTCTGGGTGAAATACTGCCCATTTTCGAAGGAAACCATCTGGTTTTGTAATGGTTCAACGATGATAACGTTGTTTGAGAGATTTGATACTTTGATCAGCTTGCGTGTTTCATCTTTTAAGTCTAGAGCTAAGACATGAGAGTTGACTCTTTGCTTAGTACTGTCCCAGGTGTAAGGATTGAATGGGATTGATAGCATCTGCAAAAGGGACAAAAGCTTTCATCAACAGCCCGGCATTAATAACGTTAAGAGTGTGTCCACGAGAAAACCAGGCAGAACCAGGCAGCAGGTGATACAGCTAAAATCACCGATTTCGCTCAAACTTGGCACAAAGTTTGAGTTTGGTGAGTCAATTATTGTTGCACAAAAAGTAGGTCAAAATATTTTATTCCCTTCAAGTTAGGAGGACCCCCGGCAAAAATGGCCATTTGACACTAAATATGCATATCGATATAAATACTGCAGCAGACGATTCAACTCACGAGCTCCCTCAAAGTATGTTTTCAGATGTAAAATAGAATGGAAACAAGAAATAACTACTTCATACAGGTCCCTTAGACGCGATTTTGCCCTCTCTTTGATTCTTGGATTTTGATGCCCTTTCAAAATGTTCAGTCCATCCTCCGTTGACTTCGACGCACGTTTCAACAGAAAAAATATCCATTACCATCCCGCTTTCATCGCTAGAGAAGTCAACGGGTTGTCGAGATAGCTATTCAAAACGCCGTTCAAAATTCAGGGAGAGCCATCACTACTGCTGTAACATATAGATTTCTTTCAAACGCCACTACAAAACATGCCGCCATCTTTGACGATATTATGCGGTAAAATTTGTATTACTATACATGAACTACCTACTGAGCCGCTTCCTTTTCAATACCGCTAATGGCGTAATAGCGTCGGCTCAACGTGGTCAAAAAATGGCGGAGTGGTCGAGTGGTCGTGTGTGGCGGGTTGTTTTATAAAGATCTCTATGCTATAGTAGCAGTGATGGCTGTCTGTGGATTTTGAGCAGTCTTTTGAGTAGCGATGCCGACAAGTTGCAAGCATCTGTGACCATGAAAGCGGAATGGCGATGGATATTCTCTTTAAAACTCACCGGGTCGAAGCAACCGTACATGTATTGATGACAATTTCGCCATCCAAGAATTAAAGAGAGCCCAAAATCGCGTCTAAGTCAGGTGACATGTATGTAGAGGTTATTTCTTGTTTCCACTCTATTTTATACCTGAAAACATAATTTGAGGGAGCTCGGGAGTTGAATCTTCTGCTGCAGTATTTATATCGATATCGTAAGAATGCCTTAAGATACATTTTGTTGTAAAGTTACGAANTTAAAATTCACCATCTTTATTAACTTATCAACGAGTGGAAAGGTGGTAAATGCTTGGCACTTACTTCAGAGCTAAGCAATGAAAAAACATGCGTTATAGCCAGTGCCAAGTGTGTAAAAATATGTGAGCCAGGTCATCTATGGGAAAACATGTAACCAGTGCCAATCATAGGAAAACATGTAAGGCGAGTCATGCGTGGGAAAACATGTAACCAGTGTCAAGTATAGGAAAACATGTAAGGCGAGGCATGCGTAAGAAAACATGTATCCAGTGTCAAGCATAGGAAAACATGTAAGCCGAGTCGTGTGGGAAAACACGTAACCAGTGTCACGCGTGGGAAAACATGAAAGCCGAGTCGTGTGGGAAAACATGTGACCAGCACCAAGCATAGGAAAACATGTAAGGCGAGTCATGTGTGAGAAAACATGTAACCAGTGTCAAGGTTGGGAAAAATTTAACCACTGTGCATGTAAGGACTGTTGGTGTAAGAATTTGTCACTTAATTATTACTGACAAATGCGAGTTAGGTAACTATGGTCGAAGTTATAGATCAAAGTGTGTCCTTGTGCATTTCAATGAAGTAACAATTGACAGCCGTTAACAATACAAGACGGCAAATATTAACCTTTTCTTGAAGATCAGAACCAACATCTCCTGATGCAATGACTGCTCCTGCCTTCAGCAAGCTGTTAAGACAGAAACCTAAGTTTTCTGCAGATAGGGTGACCAGCGGTATCATGACCACATCTTTTGCTTGAGTAGTGTTCCATAAGAATGATGCCATTGAATCAATAGCAGACAATGAGGATCCCTATCAAAAGTGTAATCAGCAACAGAATAAGTTGTTATCTGCTTGGCTAAATCTGAGTCTACAATAGCTTTTCACAGCCTGTTGCGATTAACAATGGCTACACATGCTTTTCACAGCCTGTTGTAACTAACAATGGCTACACATGCCTGATTTGATATCGGAGTATGATTCACTCTTAACAGACGTCCCAAACTCGCAATTCGAGACATTGATCAAAACTTAATGATTATGTAAGCGCATCAAGTGGGACGTGACGACCCAAATCGTAGTTGTCATCAGGGCCATTGCTAAGAAACTTTGAATGTATAGTTGAAATGATGGGATAGCGTTTATGGGATAATGTTTTNTGGTTTTTTTCAGCCTAGAACCGTGCACAGCGAGACCAACTCTGAAAAGCCACAGGTCAAAATTAGGTTTCCGTTCCACTTCGTCGAACGCAATAAAGATTATACGATTCTGTATCCAGTCATTCATCCGAGAACCATTTTTCCCCTGGACCAACATGTGTGCAGTGAGCTTTGAAGTCTCATGTAAGACCTCAATGCGGTGACGGAATAGAATTTAAAAATTAAACGAGACTTACCTGTAAGTTGAAGTTTGATTGGAATTCTATCCGCCACCAAGCATTGAGGGATTACATGCCCTCCCTTCTCAAGCCCTCACCCTTATTTTGACT